CTGGAGTCACAAACTCCAAACTTAATTTGGACTCATCTACTTAATTTGTGTAGCAGTGTCCTTATACCCACGCAATGTTTTATTTGCAAATAAAATATTTCAGCAAGATGCACTCCTTACAGTCCTTTCATTCACATATCACACTGACACACAGAATTACTGCAGAAGTGTACAGTTATTTTCAAAATACTTTTTGCAAGTGCCTTGCAAACTTGACTTTTAATTTTAAAACACTGATTACATATTAACCAACTTCTTTTGTCCATTGCAAATCACAGATTTCTAGAAAAGTTGTACTCCTGCTAAGTTTGTATCTTCACTGCTGCTTCCTGCCCCTTTGCTACCTTACTACCAGCCTTCACATTGTCTTCCAGAAGTGCCTTTTTCTGACATGCTTGATTCTTACCCATTTCTCATCAGTAAAAGTAGCAGACATAGAGAAAGAAAACACCTATGGGAAATGGGTTTGCAGACTCAGGAAAATATCACTACACTGGTTTACACTTTGATATTATCCTCAGAGCCATAGAAGCAAGGATATTTGCCTGGGTTTTTTTTCCTCCTGTAGTCTTAAATATTGAAGAACTTGTTAGGTCAGCTCCAGAGTGCTGAAATGCACCAGTATGAAAAGAATTCCACCACCCAGGATATGCAAAACTGTCACACACCCCCCAAAGCATCCCCAGCCCTTTGAAGCCACACCAACACCACAGGAAAAAAAGTATGCTGGTTATATGTCATATTTTAATCTACATGCCATAAGGTTTATTAGATTGGAAAATAAATCACAGGCACTGAGACTACTTATTACTATAAATCAAAAGTAAATTCTGCTGATTTATGTATGAAAATACAACAATGTAAGGGTGTTTCAGAAAAGAAAGGCAGGACTAGGACTTATTCACAAAGCTCCACTGGAGATAAAAGTCTCATTAAATCTTTAAGTGATCTCAGCTGATTTAACATGGTTCAAGTTAGTCCTGCCTCCTGACAGGGATGCAGTTCTGACTAAGGAGAGAAAAAAAGAAATGAGGAAAAGAACCTGATAACCAGATGCTACATCCAGAGAAAGACTGATTGGGAATATAACTGTATAAATAGAAAAAAAAAGTGTTTCTGTTACAAAAGCTGCCTTTTAGGTTAGAATTTATCTATCTATGCTGTACTTAAGCAACTTTTTTAGGCATGTTTGAAGCCCGTGCTGTAAATTCAAAGATTGTATCTGCAGCACTGAGTGGTATCTACAAAAGCAAGTTCCAGAGCACTGTGCATGCCCAGCCCAGGAAAAGTTCACCTATAAGTATCTAAGTAACCCTCTGCAGGACCAACCACGTGTGCAGAGTACAATAATGCAGCTTGAATACAGATGGAAATATTCGATGATTATTTATAAATGTAACTTAATTATTTGCTGAGACATCAACAGGGGAAAAGGAGTTCTCATTCTATATATTACACCTCTAGTGCCAATTTTGCCTGTTTCTTCAGATTAAATTAAATTCTAACCACCTCTGTTGACTGTGACAGACTGATCTTAGTAATGGTGTTGATCTGCAAGGGCAGGGTTATGCTGGAAACTGACAGACCTCTCACTGGTCATTTACCAGCATGGCAGACGCCTGGCAGGAACAGCACAACCAAGAATTCAAAGGCACACAGGCCTTGCTGCATGTAATACTTGTTTCTGTAAATGTCAAATGCTGCTTAAGAATTCTTTTATCTCACCCTATCTTCTCTTTGAAAGAAAAGGAAATGTGTAATCAAGTGATAAAATAATGTGTTCCTGTGTTTAATGATAGTGATAAAACAAACTTACAGTCTGGTTTTAGACATCTGGTTGCTCATGAGAAGTTTTGTTAACTGTGAAAATAAACCAGTGTAAGTTGTAGCACACCCTCTCTCCCAAACTCCTTTGTGCAAGAGATTAAGTAGATGTAAAATCAGAACCCTGAACGAGAAACACAGGAACATGCTGTTCTTCTTAACCATGCTTTTGAGACATTCATTTAGCATTACAAATACCATTCCTACATTTACCTATCAACATTTGAAATGCATATTGCAGTATATGCTTTTCCCTGGCTGGAAAATACTTGGAACACTCACAAAATTAGTAAAAGTCTATGACAAGAAAGAAGGGCTGAAAGATGTCTATGTCAGATTAAGTTTCCAAGAAAGGGCAGAATAGATTTTGTAGAGTTTCAAAGAAAAACCTGAAAGTGTAGCAATACATCACTTCGCAGAACTAACCCCAAACATGTACGTGTCACCGTGATGAAAACCTCCTAAGCACCATCTATGAGGGAATTGTCAGAAGAGCCATACAGTCAGGAAGCTCAAAATATTCCTGATACACGTCTAAGACATAAAAATTGAGTGGTTTCAACAGTTCTAAGCATGTCCTTTATACTTTGCTAGCACCATCAAAAATACCACTTGTATATTAATATACTCTAGTTATTTACAGAGTTAGGAAAATCAATAGATGTTTCTAATGGACTTTGCTTTCTTGAGACCCAAAATCATCAAAGTGTAAATTCAGCCCAAGCATTACAAATCAGGCTGAAGGGCCTTCTCAGCACGAAGGCTCCCTCAGACAAACATGCAATGCTCAAAAAGGAGCAACAGGTCTGTTGATAGTCACATACAAGATCCGAGTCCCGGCTAGGCAGATTTAACATTATTATAGCGCTCTCACAACGACTGACCATTTTTAAAGACTTTATAAAAATTTAAGCCAGACATGCATTCTTTTCTGTGAAAGGAGCGCAGGTGTAAAGCGGCGGGAGCTCGCAGCGCCTGCAGAGCAGCGCGGGCAGGCCCGAGCGGGGCTGCTCGCCGGGCTGCCGGCAGCAGCCGAGGGGCAGCACCTGAGGGGCGGCCCCAAGGCCGAGGCTGCGGACGGCTCGCCCTCACCTCCCGGGCGAGGCCCCTTTGTCAAAGCCCGGGTCGCTGTTGCGGAGCCGCGGGGCGCCGGCACCCGGAGCTCCCCGCCCGAAACACCGTCCCGGGGCTCTGACCAAGCCCTGTGCCAGCCCGGCCGAGCCGAGCTGCCCCTGCTCGCTGCCTCCCCTGCCGCCCTACCTGCTCGGCCGCCGGAGCTCCCGCAGCCGCGTCACGCCGCACCTGCCTCTTTTTGGGCTCCGACCGTGTCTTTTCCGTCAAGGCAACATCACTTCCCGTACGGCCCGAGGTGGGGGCGGGCCGGGCGGCACCGCCCCGGCGTGTCCCGGCCCCGCCGCGGCCACCTGGGCGGGCAGAGCGCGGCCCGAGGGCAGCACCGCGCGGCGCGGGCCGGGCCGGCTCCCAGCCCTTCCCTCCTCGCCGCTCTGGAAGATCTCGCGCGGTCGGTCACCATTCATGAGAGGCAAAACAGGTTTCGCAGCGCAAATCCGCGGTGCCTGGTTAATGCACACCACTGTGGTTTAATGAGCTCCTCCTGCCGCCTGCTGGCTGCCTGCCTTCCCCCGCAAGGGAAGAGCGCTCTTCACTCTCAGCAGCTTCCCAACAAACGCTTTAAATCCAGCAGTCTCAAGAATTCAGCAAGCAGAGTCTTAAGCTCAGTTGCATCAATAACCCTTTCTACCTGCATCTGTTCAGCCGTACTCTCTCTTGAGGCTTTTCAAATTCAACTGCCATCTTTATGGACAATTCCAGTCATTATATTTACGAAGGAAGTGCCTTCTAGACCTGAGCTACACTTCTTCAAAATAGCCTTTTCAATATTTAGTGGTACTGTAAAGGAAGCTGCTGGAGTCACTGCAGTAATTCAGTGATTGCACTGAACTTCTGTGGCAATATGGAGCATTCCCTTATAGAGTCAGGGAATGGTTTGGGTTGGAAGGGGCCTTAAAGACCATTTAGTTCCACTAGACCAGGCTACTCAAAGCCCCATCCAGCCTGGCCTTGGACACTTCCAGAGATGGGGCAGCCACAGCTTCTCTGGGCAACCTGTGCCAGTAACTCATCATCCTCACTGTAAAAAATTTCTTCCCAATATCTAATCTAAACCTGCCCTTTCAGTTTAAAGCCACTGCCCATGTAATGTCATGTCCAAACTGCATTAATGCACTCAAATGCACCTCCCAGCCTACCTTCTACTGCTATCCTCCCATCTCAGCTTCTATACCACTGCCTCCACCTACAACATTATTCCTGGCTTAAAATATAGACACACAAACAATTGGTTTCTTCCCCCATTCTGTACAAACAAGGTTCTGTGTTAAAACCAAAATCTGGCATAAGTTTGTCCCAAGATCTCCTGGGTTTGGTTTCTTTTTAGATTACTAAAGTCTTGAAGTATCTACTGATTTGGTTTCCCCAAGTCTCAGATTCTGTTCTGTCAGACTAATCCACACCTACTCAAAGAGGTATGCTTCCTTCCTAAGCTACACACTGAGGCTCTTCTCAATTATAACCCATTTCCCAGGCAGATTTATGTATTTTATATCTACTGTAGCCTCACTCTGTCAGAAATGATATCTGTGTGGAACACATGTGCTATGTGTGTTTATGTACATATGGCCAGGTCTGATCATAAGCTACCAAAGCTGGGTGCAGTTCCCTCCTCAGCCATTTGCACAACTGCTTTCCCAACTGAGCTGACGTATTAAGAACTGACACCATGAGAAGCAGAGACAAATGGTATTTATCACTTGGAGGATCAGATCAGAGGCAATCCAACAAAACCATGAAGCATAATCACACAGCAGCAGCTTTCTTTTTCGAGTTTCCTGATGTTATTTAAATGTAGAGGTGAAACAGCCCTTCAGACATTCAGAGTGCCATCCATGATTCAACATCCACGTCCCGAGCTCTGGTACCAAACCGACAGGCACGGAGCTGCAGCAGGCGGGCGGCTCCAGCGCGGGGCCGGGCTGCGGAGGCGGCCGGGGCGGGGCGGCCCCGGCAGGTGACGGTCGCGCCGGCTCCGAGCGGCTCCATTCCCCGACGGACGGGGCGTGCGAGGCCGGGCTGCGAGGCGGTGCCCGGGAGCGTGCCGCGGACACGCGTGGGGCGGGCGGGCGCGCACTGCGGCGCGGCCCCGGCTCGGCTGCGGCCTCGGCGCCCTCACCTGAACGCGGGACGCGGCAGAGCCCCGGCTTCCCGCTGGCTGCAGGCAGCGGACGGAAGTACCGGCGCTGTCCCGCCTCCCGCGGCCGCGCATGCCCCGGCGGGGGAGGCGGCCGGGGAGCTGCGGGCGCGGATGCCGGAGGCGGTGCGGCTCCGCAAGCGGCGGTCGGTGCTGTACAGCTCGGCCGGGGCGGCGGCCGCGCAGCGAGGCGCCGGTAAGCGGGGCCGGGCCGGGCGGGGAGGGGCAGGGCTGGGGGGCGGCCCCCGAGGGGCCCGTGACGGACCAGCCTCGCCCCCGCAGGTGCGGCCGCGCCCGCGTCGCTGCTGGTGCTCGCCCTGGCGCTGCGGACGCTCAATTGCTTCCTCGTCCAGACCAGCTTCGTCCCGGACGAGTACTGGCAGTCGCTGGAGGTGGCCCATCGCATGGTCTTCAAATATCCTTGGCCTGCCGCGGCCCCCGCGCCCCCTCAGCGCTCCCCGCGGAGCCGCGGGCGGTGAGCGCTCGGGCACGGCTCTCCCCGGCTGTCGGGTGTTGGCTTGACAGCAACAAACACCCCACCGCTCTGGCCCAAGGGACAGAAGGCCTCGAGCCGGATGGCTCGGGTGAAACTTTTCCTTTCAGTTGGTCGTGATCTGTCCTTAATATTCATAATTATGGTTACCTGACTTGGGAATGGACAAGTAGCTTAAGGGGCTACTCATACCCACTGATCTTTGCAAGCATGTACAAAGCATTACAGCTGCTGGCTAAGGATAACGTTCAGCTGCTGGTGAGTATAGTCAAAAAATGTGCATCTGCTACTAAAATTCAATTCTAAAGTATTGTATTTAAACACAGAGTATTTTTATCATTGTCCAAGTAAAATGCTAAGCCTTGAGTCTGGCAATTTGGGATGTGTGAGCACAGAGATCCCACTGACTTCCCATGGGGGCAGAACTCATTAACAGATTTCCATTCATAACACTGATGCCTGCAAGTGCAGAGGTCTCCATCAATCTCTTGGATTTTCACACTGATTGTGTTTGCCACTACATCATAATTGCACAGTATTCCAAAGTGTTTAGCAATGTATATTTGCACTCAACCCACAAGGACTAACAACAGCCCCTTTTGATTTCTGTTGGAGACAGATAATTCTACTTTCCATCTCTGAACACTTTCAGTTGAAGTTCAGATAGTCTCTGTTTTGGCAGAAGTACTATCCTTACCCAAGGCCCTTACTATTTAATTTTTAAAATCATAAAAAGCTATAGAGAGTACTCACCAATTCACTATTTGCATACTTGAACAGTCATTCACTAATTCAGTCCTCTCCTAAAACTTGGAATTTAACTTGTTTTGTTGCAAGTACAATTTTCTCTCTGCTTACACAGATCTGGGTCCCTAGGCTTGCACAGGCAGTGCTGGCTGCTTTTGCTGATGTGAAGCTTTACTCATTAGTGCAACACCTTGAAAATTCAGAAACAGCAAAGTTCGTGGTGAGTCACAGTCTTTAAAAAATTTTGCATGTTAATAAGCACTGGTTTTGCATTGTAAGATAAGTGAGTGTAAATAAGTGCAAAATTCTATGTCACATCTTGAAGAATTACCACCTTCATTTAGGTGAACTTGTTTTAATGTGTTCATAATTATTTTCAGTTCTTCTGCCAACTCTGTTCCTGGTTTACATGGTATTCCTGTACCAGAACTCTAACAAACACCATGGAGACTATTCTTACCATTTTTGCTCTTTCCTACTATCCAATAAAAGGCTCCAAGATGGGGAACAGGTGAGAAACTTCCTCCAAACAGTACTGATAATTTTTGGTTTGGGATGACACCAATCCACTGATATTGTTTAAAATGCTAACTTTTTTCTTTTCCAAAGCCTTAGCAAGAGTTCTGTCTCATGGAATGAAAACTCTAGTATTTCCTCTAAATACTTTTTTAAGACTATGTTATAGCTGGATGTAAAATTAGCTATTCCCCTCTTTCCTTTTGCAAAGTGTGACTTTATGGGAAGCTTTTATTTTAAACTTTAAAACACTGGAATATACAGTAACTTGGGAAAACACAACAAAAGCTTTTTGGAGTCAGATATAGGTGAATTTGTGGTCACAAATTTCTTTATCACTCGCTATTTTAAAGTAGGTACCTGTAGTTAGCAACTCCATTGTAACAAAGCAATTCTAGAGTTGCAGCCTTCTAAGCAAGAGAGAGTATCTGCACTCAGAGAGTCAAAGTTACCTGCAGTATGAAAAACTTTTGGCCAGAGAGATGACAGTTGTTGAAATGTCACTGTCTGGCAAAGAATTGACCAGACTTTTTGATAAGCTGCTGGGTTCTTTATGTTTCTTCCTTCTAGTTGGAAGTATTTAGCTTTGGTTGCACTTGCCATTGTTATTCGTCCCACTGCTGTTATCCCGTGGATGCCTTTGGTCTTCAGCCATTTTTTGCAAGAACAGAGGAAAGCAGACCTTATCCTACACAAGTGCATTCCAGTTGGGTAAGTTCTTTCTCAGTTTAAACTGGGACTGTGCACAGCTACATCTAAAGATTGGTTTTATCACTGCAAAGGCAGACAAGCCAAAAAACCTGATATCATGTAAATAAAAAAGAGAATAAATAGAGTCCTTTGGCAAAAGTTTAAGGAAGGGGCATGTTTCCTTTAAACTGTTGTACATGCTGCAAAAAAGCACCAGGAAAGATTTCATGATGGTGAGACAGGAGCAGCATTCAAGGTTAGTCTGGGATTGTGCCAAGGATACCAGGTGATGGCAAGTGGCCATGAGTATGGATAATCTCAAAAATACTAGGAATCAGAGTTTTGACGGCTGGAGAAGATACAAAAGTAATTCAGGCAATATCAGTGCAACAAACTTTCCATTTTTGCAGATTGGTCACAGTAGGAACCTCTTTAATAATTGACCGTGTGTTTTTTGGTGAGGTAAGCTGTTTTAAACTTGACTTATAAGAAGAAGGTTGGGGTTTAGTATTTTAGCATTGATGGATATTTCAGATTTCTCTGACTTCTCTTGTTTCCGTGACAGTGTATGGCCTCTGATCTCTAAATATATCCTAAGCTACAAACCCTTGAACAATGACTTCTCAGGTATTTCAAATGATGGACTGTTACATAAAATCAGTATGCTCAGTCCTCAATAGTTATCTACAAACTTACACACTTCTGTGATTAATTGCTAAATATAGGAAGTCCATGCTGAGTCTTAGTAAAAAAAAAAAAAACCCAAGCTAAAATAGGAGTGAAAATGTATTATATGATGACTGTGTCATTCAATGTAGCTGTTGGGTCTGACTGTGGATTTGTGTTTAACTCTTCCTTATCTCCCAGTGGGTACTGGTTCAGCTGAACTTCTTGAAATTCAATGTGCTGCAGAATTTGGGAACATTTTATGGCTCCCACCCTTGGCACTGGTACCTGACCCAGGGACTCCCAGTTGTCCTGGGTCCCCACCTGCCGTTCTTTATTCACGGCTGTGCGCTGGCACCCAGGCGGTACCGCATCCTTCTGCTGGCACTGATCTGGACACTGCTGGTGTACAGGTAATCTCCTGAGTGGAACTGCTGCCTCTCACTGGTTGTGTTCTTTGCAAAGCTCCTGTCCTGTCCAGAACAAAGCAGCGTAGTATTCAGTTAAGTGATAGAAAACTTGAAACTGTTCAAACACTCCAAGAAATGCAATCAGTTATAAAACTGGTTCTAGAATTATGTGTAATACTGTTTTTTGTATTGTCACAAACACATATCTTTAGAATGGATTAGACCTTTAAAGAATAATATAATTCATTATGAAATGAAATTTTAAAAAATCTCAAAACCAACACTCAATCACCCAGCAGGTGTTTAAACAAAAACAGAACTAGTTAGAAAACTGAGTTCACTAGATGCCTATTAATGAAAATATCATTTCATTTGGTGCTTTACTATATCCCCAGTAAGATGAGAGATTCTTATACCTCTAAAACTTACTCCATTCACAAGTTTATACACAGCTCTTAACTACCATAAGGCTGTATTTCTCACTGTAAGCTCAGAAGTATAAGAAAAGGTAAGTTTTTTCTAAAGCATCAGAATTAACTGTAGATTAAACATGAGAGAGACTTTCAGACATTAAAAAATAGAGCAAGTAAATAAATACTAAGCAATAAATACTTTTATACTATCATAGTAATAGATTACAACAAAACAGTAGCAAGACCAGAAAAGCAATTTCTTCTTTCCAACTCAAAACTGAAAGTAGCTTTATTGGCTTTAGGACTTTTTTGCCTTCTTTAGTTTTGTAAGAATCCTGTTGATTCCCAAGACACGAGAGTTACAGTAATCCCCAAAAATGCCCAAAAATTGTCATGGGAAATTGTGTATTTTTGTATTAGCAGGGGTGACTGTTAATTTGCTAGACACAAATGGGCACTTGAATCTTAACTTTTCATCCACACTATTTATTGTGTCTTATTACAGAAAACAGATTGGTGAAGTACTGGCTAAGTTACATCAGTTGTCAAAGAATCAGACCACTTAACTGTAGTAGCCAGGAATTTTTAACAGTGCTTGGTTTAAACTGACCGAAGAGTCTTAATTTGAATGTACTTATTATGTTCTTCAAAAGTGACAGTTTGGATTTTTACTTCACTGCTTCAATACCAAAAGCTTCTTAATACATGCACGTCCTCTTCCAGTCCTCTGTGCCCTAAAACACATTTTGTCAATAGAACTGCATTTAACTTTCTTGCTGTATTACTGTATGTTTTATTACAGCACACTGAGCCATAAGGAATTCAGGTTCATCTATCCAGTACTGCCATTCTGCATGATTTTTTGTGGTAAGCATTGGTTTCAAATGTCTTGCAACCTTACCTGGATATAATTTTTACCCAAAGAGAGACTGTTAATGGTCAATGTAGGTATTTGATAAATGATTCTTAGAATTAGCGTAGCCTTTTCTTACAGCTAGTTAAAAAGAGAAAGAAAAAGGATGAGGGAGAGCAAGTAACTGTAGCACAGATAAAGAATCCTTAGCACGGATAAAAGTATTCCTACAAAAACATGACAATTGTGTGCCTTTTCCCATTATTAGCTCCTTCAAGCAAAGTAGGGCAAAGGGGCAGTGATTGGAGATGGGAAAAAAATGAAGGAGTATGCTTTTCCAAGGCCAGAAGCTCAAAATTTAATAACAGTAAAGGAATTCTGTAGTTTTCAGCAGTTTGGAGAAAAAGAATAGCACAGCCTTGCAGATGTAGTTGCCATTTATTCTGGCTCTATGTGGACGTGCATGAATCAGAACACATCAGTAAGTTGCCATATACCATTCAGCCAAACTACTGAATGGACTGTTCTGCACTACAAGAAATTAAATTTAAAGAGACAAAGCACTGGTTTTGAAATTGTATTTCAGGAGACAGGCGTGGGCTTAAGATTTACTCTGTTAAATCCAAGAATTAATAGAGCAAAACATTTGAAATTCAAAGCATTTGAATTTCCTTTCAATGAGTAAAGACTCAACACTGTAGTATAAAGTATCTCAAAGCAAAGTATTGTTACTGGCTGAGTAATGTTTTGCCACTGTATTAGGGCACTTTCAAAAATGTGTGAATTGTTTATCTCCCAAACTTACTCAAATGTTTCTATAGGATATTCTTTGAGATACCTGAAAGCATGGAAGAGAACTGCAGCAAGTTTCCTGCTGTTATCCAATTTAGTGCCAGCCCTGTACACAGGCTTGGTTCACCAGCGGGGCACTCTGGATGTTATGAGTCACATCCAGCAGCTCTGCAATCACTCTCAGCAGTCCCAAGCTTTTGTCTTCATCCTGATGCCGTGCCACTCTACCCCATTTTACAGGTATTAAAAGTGTCAGCAGTGCACTACATTAAAATCCAAACTCTTAATCAGAAATCAAGATTTCTTTTTTCCAAGCCTTAATAAATTGAGATATATAAATGCATACAGGAGGAGTTTTGATTTTTCATACAGTTAATACAGAGTGAATAGGGGACATAAGCCAAATGCTTATAGCACAGAATAAAATTCAGCATCTAAGCTTTACTCATTTTTGTGAAATAGCTTTGTATGAGGATATGCAGTAAGTCTAATGACTTCACTAAGTATGTCACACTTCTTCATTATGATAACATTTTTAGCAAAATTAAACACTAATTGTTACAATCAAAATGTATTAATTTTACTTCTGCTGCTAGGCAGTAAAGAAATGTCATTACAACAGTGATTTAGGTCATTGCAAAAGGTTTTCAGTAGATCCTGGTAAGTAAACAAAATGTTAAAGCAGATATAAATACTGAAGCTGATATGGAAAAGTACCTTTTTAAGAAACTGCTGTTGTGCAAATGGTATTTTTATTAAGATAAATGTATTTTCTGTTAACTGCTAACAACACAGTCCCAGCAGTTTGGAGCTGAGTCTGCTTGCTCTACTTTGCTTTCATATGAAGTATTGAAGGGAGGAAAATACTACTCTGAGGAAAAAAAATTAATTGATTTTTTGTTTTGACTGAGGTTGTCTTTTGAAGTGATGAGTCATTTCAAATCTCTGATTCTTATCAGTTTATCATGAAATATGTTTTTGTTTTTCTCCCTAGTCATGTTCACTGTCCTCTAAAAATGAGATTCCTTCAGTGTCCCCCAGACCTAAGTGGCAACGCGAGCTACGTTGATGAAGCAGATGTGTTCTACTCTAACCCACTTGGCTGGCTGAATAGGGAGTTCTACAATGACACATTATTACCCAGTCACTTGATCCTCTTCAATGTGCTAGAACAGGTATGGTAACTGCAAGATGAAACAAATTACTTCTGAGCACAAGCTACAAGATAAATTAGGGAAGAGTTATAGTTTAAATTTTTGAAAATTGTTGTTCACAACTTTTTAAAACATAGCTTATATTAAAATTGACCCCTCTAGCCCATGACAAGATCATTGATATCATTCCACTGCTATATATTTAATGTTCATGTATGCCCTCTCCTCTGTGCAAAGTAATGTTTTATGGAATTCTTCTCAATCCATGTTAAAACAAATGTACCATCTGTTCCCAGAAACTGCACTTTTAAGTAAGCAACAATGAAAACTAAAAACACCTGCAGTCACAGTACCTTTTAACCCCTCAAATCTTTAATGAAGTCCATATCTGCCCCAGACAGGATCAAACAGGATAAGTACTTTTTTTTCTAGCAGACTTTCCTAAAATAAAGGATAAAGCTTCCCAGGGACAACTGAACTGATGGTTGTCAAGAGACTTTGGAACACTATTCTTAGGCTCCCAGCTGTGTTTTCTTACTGTGGCAATTAATGTGTGTTCATTTGCAGGAAATATCATCATTTCTAGCTTTAAGGGGCTATGAGAAAACAGCCACTCTGTTTCATACTCATGTACCTGAAGGACGAGTTGGAAGCCACATCTCCATCTACAGGAGAAAAACTGAAATGAATTATCCCTGAAGATCAGGCTGGACCTCAGAGCTATTGAGATCAGGTTTGCATATCAGTAGCTATGCTTACACCTGGTACTGCAGAAAGGAGAAAGCAGTGAGTCTGAAACTGGGGGGGTCAGTGGGAATGAGGCAGCCAGTGGCTGCCTGCAAACACATAAACCTCCTCCTGAAGGCAGCTTCAGTAGCAGTAGGGCAGGATGGGGCTGCTGACCTACCTTACAACACTAGAAAACATTGGGAAGACCAAAATTACCATATGAATGTTAAAGCAATAAAATACAGACAAGACTGGACTGTTTTTATAGAACTGTACAGCTATGCTGAGTTTTTTTATAAATAAAGACTTTTACCCACAATGTCTCTTTTATTTTTCTTCTACAATATGCAGATATGCAAGACATTTCAAGTGTTTAAATCAGCACGCTGATTAGAATGCAGCACAGCAAATTCTTCACAATTCAACAGGCTCTTGAACCCCCCCAAAGACAGGAAGCAAATATAAGGTTACAGAACACTAACAAATACATTACCACAATGTTGATCTATTTTTTGAAGGATGAGATGAAGTTAGTATATCAAACATTGGAGTTAGTAGTTGGTACATTATGCATGGCTCAAGCTTTAACTACACTAATGGAATGCAATTAAGCATTTTTTCATACACAGGTCATGGCATGCCTAGTTTCTGCAACAATACTGCTGGCACCCAAACTATCTTTACTTCCAAAGGACAGTTAAAGCAACGGTACAGAATATGCAAATCAGAAAGCCTGACTTCTGCCTGTTAACAAAAATGTGTAAAAATCAAATTATTCAGAAAAAAAACCCCTTGCATTTTGCTGCTTTGTTGAAAAACAATTAGTTTCCAGAGAGCATGTGAATTTTAATCTTCACTTTTACAATAAATTACTCAGTATTTTGGATCAAAGGGTAGTTGCCCCAATTCTATTTCAAGATTTGCCATGTGTCTTCCATTAGTGCGACCATGTTTATGCCATTTACCTTCTCGTTTATTACGGTGTTGGTACTTCTGAGCTTGTTTTTCATGTCTGGAATTTTCACTTTGTGTAAAAGGTCTTTTAGGTCGACTGCAAGAAGTAAACAAAAGCTTATTACTACTAAAAGCATTTTGTAACACAATTACATTTTCAAGTACAGCTTTTAACATGCTGAGGTTCATTGAAAACAAAATTAGTAAGTAGTCCTTTAGCTTGTAAGAAAAAAAATTTTTAAATCATCAGTAAGATGGTATATATAAAAGAAATGCTTTCTATAAATAAAAATGAAGGTGGTATTACAAGCTTCTGTGTAACAGTATCAGTAAAAGAATTTGGAATTGTTTTTCTGCAAACTGAAATTCTCACAAATTAGATATTTAATTTAAAAATAAAGTTCATTTGATAATAAATTAGGAAGATGGACTATAAATAAAATCATAAACCTTTTGTGTTTGCCAAAACCATGTTAACTGGGTACCTGATAATAGGACTATCACCCTCACAGTTCAGCTTTCAATAGGAGAAAGTGCTACCTCACATAATACTTAGTAACCCCAAAGTAGTTAATAGTTCAGACTTGCAGCTGCAGTAAAATACATGAAATTATAAATAATACAAGTGTAAATTTGTAAAGCCATGAGAACACCTTTAGATCCAGGAAAGGAATGTAGGAAACAATAGACACTAGGGACCATTGTGAGAAAGTCTGAACAAAACTTAGTCAGGGTCAGGATCTGAACTGCAGCCTGCTGTGTGATGAGCTCTGCTCTGGGCATACAGAATAACCCAGTATTACACCAATCTACAGGAGAGTAGTGAAATGTATCTGCCAGATCAGGACTCAGAGACACCCTAAAACTCAAAAACCTCATTCAGCAAAGGACAAAAAGGAAGCTGCAAGACAGTTCCTCATTCCATCAGATGGGAAATCAGAGCTGTTTGGTCTAAAGAAATCCTACTGACAGTTTTCTAAAGAACCCAGCAGAAACATTAGATTGTGCTACACACACACACAAAATTTATATAAAGTTTCTACTGATCCACTTTATATAACATAATCTAATATTTCCACTAAGTCCTTCAGAAAGTCTAGCATATGTGTGTGTGTATATGTATACACACACACACACAATACACGTACCTGCTCAAAGACCATCCATTACAACAAGGACATTGGTTGTCTTTATAAAGAACACTTCTTTGTGTTATCAAGTACAGGAAAGAGGGAAACAAACCTGGGTCCATACTGGGGTGAATTATCATAATGGAAGTAGTATCTGTAGACATATTTGTCCAAATCCTCAAAAACCTTCTCATTATTACTTTGGTATTCCTTCATATCTTCCAGGTAATCCTTGACATCATTAACAAAATCAGTGAACAGCATCTGGTCATGTATAAACAATCCATTATGAAAAAACTTATTGATGAAATTTTCTAGTTCTCTCCAGTGATGAAAGTTATGTACAACTTGCTGTAAATACTTTCTCATTAGCCGATTAAATTCATCCACCCTGATGGGATCTGAAACTCTGTTAAAGAGACTAATGAATTCTTGATGAGCACATTCAAAAATACCAGAGCAGCCCTTTAGGGCAAACTGATGTTTTCTATTACACAAATGATCATTGAGACATTTCTGGGAATCTGAATCTTTTTCAAATGTTGTAAAATGATGTTTCCTTCCATTTCTGGATTCTTTTGGCATGTGAGGTCCCCTGTAATGCATGTGCTTCAGATTCTCGTAGGAGTTATGGTCTCGGTAAAAAGTTCGAGCTTTCTTGTTTGCTTCATGTCTTTTATCGCTTGATGACTTCTCTTTTTCATCAAAGATGTTTTTTGTGGTATCTTTGAAGTGTCTGAATGTAGACTTTACAGAATCAGAGAATTTTTTCAAGTTTTCTTTTACTGCTTCTTTAGCCTGCTTAATCTTTTCTTTATGGTGTCTTACAAACTCTTTTGTGGAATTTTTCATAGCATCAAAAGTTTCTTTAACTGAACCAAAAAATGTCTCCTTTGATTTCTTTCTACTCTTACTCTGCCCTTTAGCACTTTTCTTTTGTCCATTTTCATTAATTTCTTGTTTTTCAGATTGGTCTTTTGCTTCAACATACAGCTTCTCCCATAAGTCAGAGCGTTGTTGCTCAAAGTTTAGCTTCTTTTCTAGTTCTGCCAGTCTTCCTCGCAGAGTTTCTATTTCTTGATTTTCTCTTAATGTCTCATCATCATCAGCAGCAGCACTGTCAGGTGCATGACGAGAACTTAACTGTTCTAGTTCTTTTTTCAGAGCTTCTGTAACATGACGTTCTTTGTCCAGTTCTCGCCTGAGCATCTGTGCCTCTGCAAAGAGCGTTTCCTTTTGCCTGAGAAAATTGCTGTTCCTTTGCTTTTCCTCTTCCAAATGCTCCCTTAGTTTCTGATTTTCTATTACAATAGATTCAGTGCTACTGCCTTTATCTTCTAAGTTTCTGATTTGTTGTCTTAGCTTCCTTAATTCTTCCTGAAGTGAGGCCAAAGCCTTTTCTTCTTTCTCTAGAGATTCTCTTAGGTGCTGATTTTCTGCAGCAAGACTTTTTTTTTGAGAATCAAAGGATTTCTTCTCCACCTCAGTAAAGGTCAAACATGTGGCAAGATCTCCCTTGAGTGACTAAAAGAAACAAAAAGAAAACAAGCAGACATACTACAATGAGAATTGTTACAATTTCACAATAGAAATATGAAAAACCAAGGTAGCCCAAACAGAGCTTACTTGTCATTTTGAATGTAATGAAACATGTGTAGCAAGATGCAAAAATAGAGGTGGTTTGTTTATCTCACTTGGGTTTGTTTATCACACACTTTCTTGGCAACAAAGACCATGTGAGAAACTCTCTCAGCCAGCCAGAGGTCATCACCCCTCACTTGTATTGGTTTAACTAGCTAAAGAATAGTCAGTTTGATACATGAACGCTAATATCTTAAAAGGAAATCAAAATGTGCATCTTTGATGTTGATTTATGTTCAGCCAGCTGAATTTACAGATTACCAAAAAAACTAGCAGAAGCAAAAGCATTTAGCTTTTGGGGCAGAAATTCACAAACTGATTTTGAACCAAATCTGAAAATACCTGTTTGTATAACTATATACTAGCACAAAAGGAGCTCCCCAGTCTGCTGGCATCACTGACAAGTTCTAGAACATACTGAATTATGTACAAATGCTGCTAACAGACACATAAAAGAAAATCTAAAAAAAAAAAAAAAACACTCCCTAATCTTCTCTCTGGATGATGCAACAGTAAAAAATCAGGCGTATGGCTTAAGTATTTAAAAAATTAATAACTACTGATAATTTAGAAAGCAAATTCACAAAACCTGCACGTTCAACATGTTTTTACAAGCATTTTCTACTTCAGCTGTCCTCATTAATGACAACCTGGCACTGTATCACAGGGAAACAGTCTCTGTGTCCAGATAACTCCTAGACTACAGACATAAAACCCAGTACATTTAAACACATTCCAAGAGCAAATTCAATCAACACAAACATTTGTCAAGAATTCAGGAGAAAGCTCTCTGGAAAAACTTACTAAAGACAAAAATTTAATGGATTTGTGTGAGAAATTCATTTTAATTTGAGCAAAATACACACATAACGACAGAATTATGCAATGACTTCCAGCTAAGCTCACACCACCTACCCCCACTTTGTGGTGCACTTGATCTCCTTGCTCTTGTTGGCACTGGTAAAGGTCATCTTTCAGATCTTTTATTTCACGTGTCTTTGTCACCAGCTGCTGCCGTTTCTGGACCTGCACTGTACCTACAAAGATAAAAAAGTTTATTTTGATAGACTGACTTAGAGTAAGCAGTTAGAGGAACAGAGGAACCTAAACATCATCTTCATTCTCTCTGCAAATCCAAAAGCATTCTTACCTTGCCATTTCAGCCCTGTCCTTACCAGTAACTGTTTAGCTGTAGCAAAATGGTTTCTTTCAATGATAAATCATTTCTCAGACCCAAAAATTTGCTTCTACACTGTTTTTTCATTAAGGACAAATAACTACATAGAAATAAGTTAGATCCAAACTAACAAGTTATGCAGGAAAGAATATTTGTGACTCTCTCTAAGTTTTTTAGTAACATGCAAGTCAACCAGGATAAAAGGGAGACTACTGGTCCATGCATTATCCACTTCAGAACTACAACCTTGACTGTTAATTGAATTACATTAATAAGAGGGTATCAGCACAGTGTTTAAATTTTCATGCAGAAACACCATTATTACAGACTGCTCACAAAGCAGCAAGTATTGCAGGCCCTGTCTTGTCCTTCTCATCCATAAGCAAAGGCTGCAGAGTAAGCAAGTGTCCTGTTTTT